CTCACCTGGGAGAAATCAGTCTGGTTTAGGAGATGTCCCTCTGTTGTTGCTTTCATGGGTTGTTTCCCTTTATACATTGAACCTTTGATAAACACCCGAAAGAAAGAAGAATCATAGCAAAGTAAGTTACTTCTGGGATCACTATTATGATCCCCTCCCTTGCCTGCAGGTAAAACTGTACTGGGTCATCTTTATTTTTGCCTTACGGCTTAAAAGCCCCAGGTATCACACACAATAAAGACTACAATCTGGAAACCCAAGATTACTGGAGAAAGAAAAAATTTGATGAGCCCTGGCTGGTTTTGCTCAGCGGTTAGAGCGTCGGCCTGCGGTCCAGAGAGACCTGGGTTTGGTTCCCGCAAAGGGCACGTACTTCAGTTGCAATTTGTCCCCGGCTCTAGTTGGGTAGTGCGGGTGGCAGCCACTCGATGTGTCCCTTTCACGTCGATGTTTCTCTCTCTTCCTCTTTCTCCCTCCCGCTCTATCTGAATAAAAAATGGAAAAATGTCCTCGGGTGAGGATAAAAAAATATATGATGAATCCTGTGCTGTCGAGTACAACAGCCAAATAGCTGCTGGCTGTGTGTAGCTATTCAAATTTACATTAAGTGTATTCAACTTAAATAAAAATTTTAGTTTCTTAGTCACATTCACCTCATTTCAAGTGCTGGCTGGTCATGTGTGGCAGCAGCTACCATATTGGACAGCACACACAGAGTGTTCTCATCGGGACGGAACTCCAGAGAACTTCCAGCTGGACAGCTTGGCTCCAGAACATGTTGGTTCAACGAAGTGTTTCAGCTCCGCATCAGACTGTTAGTTTTATGTGGTAGGCTCTTTGATAGTGAGGGAGAAGGATGGATTTTATTCTTGTTTTATGTTTGTCAAGTTTTGTGTAGACTTACAACCTTAAGTTTAGGCTCTTTAAGCACTTTTCCCCCATGTGAGCAGCTTATGATGGTCAATTTTCATTAGCGATTTTCATGGTTTGACAATGACACATTTGTAGGGCTACATGGGTTATGTATTTCATAATCACAAGTGTTTCATCTTCCCATGCCTGGGAGCCCCCTGGCCCTCCTTTTCCACCTCCTCCAGGACCTTCTTTTTCCCATCTGCTCCTTTCTGTCTATGGACATTCTTAGGTTCTTTTTTTTTCTCTTTCTTTCATTTATTTTTGTTAACCCTCACTTGAGGCTATTTTTCCATTGATTTTTAGATAGAATGGAAAGGAGAGAGGGAGGAAGAGAGAGAGAGAAACATCCGTGTGAGAGAGACACATTGATTGGTTGCCTCCTGCACGGCCCCAATCAGGGCCAGGGATCAAACCTGCAACCAAGGCATGTGCCCTTGACCGGGAATTGAACCCATGACCCTTCAGTCCTCAGGCCAGTGCTCTAACCACTGAGCAAACCAGCTAGGGCTCTTAGGTTTTCTTTTCAATAGAACTGTCTTAATCCTGCTACTCCACAACCAGTCTCTTCCTGCTGTATTCTCTCCTGGATGGGGATTTTTTTCTGCATCTCATTTAACTGCCTTGCCACTCATTCTGTTGCTAATGCAGGCAGCTCAGCGTCTGTCTCTCTGGCCCTCATTTCTCACAGCCAAGGTTGGTCCCTTAGTGGTATTTCTGGGCCCCTGTCCTCCTCATGTCTGACCTTTAGATGGTACTGCAGTAGCCTTCTAGCAGCATTATGTGCCTCTAATAGTCCATCTTTATACTGCTGCCCAGAGATTTTAAAAATACGGATGTGATTATTTCACCGTAGGGTTTAAAAAAAAAAGCGAGGAACCCTTCAGTGGGTTTCTATGGCCACAGGATATAAAGTTTATCCCTATGAGGTGGAACCTTGACCTCCACATAATTTTGCCAGCCCATCATTGCCATTTCCCCCGCTCCACTCTCCCTCCTTGCACACGTCACAGGTGTAGCCCGGTCTCCCGAGGTCTTTGTTTTCATGGGTCAGAAACCTAAGGCAAAACTTTGGCAATTAGACATGGGATTCACTATTTTCCCCCCCAAATAAGGCCATTAAAAAGTCTATACTATTTACTGTCTTTGTCATCTCATTTTAAAAGGCCATTTGAGCCCTGGCCGGTTTGGCTCAGTGGTTAGAGCGTCGGCCTATCCGGAGAGACCCGGGTTCGGTTCCCGCTAAGGGCACGTACTTCGGTTGCAGTTTGTCCCCGGCCCTGGTTGGTCGTGCGGGTGGCAGCCACTTGATGTGTCCCTTCACGTCGATGTTTCTCTCTCTCTCTCCCTTCCTCTCTCTCCCTCCCACTCTATCTGTACAAAAAATGGAGAAATATCCTCGGGTGAGGATTAAATAAATAAATAAATAAATAAAAGGCCATTTGAACCTTAAAAAAAAAAAAAGAATTCAGCCTTGTGAAAATCTCAATGAAGTTTTTCATGTCACCTGAGAATGAAAACATAGACGTTTAGGAGCTAATGCTTTTGCAACACTGTGCTCCATCCAGATGTATCTCTTGGGTCTCCGAGCCCGCATGCACTTCCTTCTAACTGGAAGCTGCATCTTTCCTTCAAGCTCAGGTTTGCTTTTGCCCTACTGCAGCAACTTTCAGCTGGGGTCCACTAGAATTTTTAAAACATGCAAACATGCAACACCTGACTGACCTTTCTTCCTTAGATTGTCAAATTTAAAAAAATGACAACAGTCAACACAACAATAGCCATCCAGTGTGAATGAATCAAAATTATACCTTTTATTGTCAGATCGGTAAAAAATATGTATTTTTTGGTGTGCCACAGAATTTTAGTGGTTTATGTGTGCCATGAAATGAAAAAGGTTGACAGTCTCTGGCCTATTGCCCTCATGCTTGATGACGTACCTCTGGGGAGCCCTGCTGTCCTTAGAGTGTTTGATTTGTAATCCATTTTCCCTTGGATTGGAATTTATCTCTTGATGTCCTGTCTTCCGGTCTCCCTAGTCTGAGTGTCAGCCTTTGAGGCACAGGCTGTGTCATCATTCAGCTCTTGGTGGTTCTAATATCTGAAACAGGAGGCTAATGTCTAAGAAAGGTTGTTACCCCATTTCAGGTCTTCACACTGATACCAGATCTTGTCCTGTGTCTAGGGTACAAAAATAGTATAGAGCATCTTAAGTACCTAATCCTAACTCCCTGCAGAGAGCGCACATTGTTCCGTGAGCTCTCCTGGGCTTTGGTCGCCAGCACGCTGAAAGCAGCAAGGGTGGCCCCGGAACTCAGACTGCAGGGCACTAAAAAGACCCACTTCTGGAGGGAAACCTGTCTGGTGGCTGAAGCCATGGAAATGATAAGTGGGAAGAAGCTGTGAAGTTTTAAGGCCTGGCAACTTGGATGGATTAATGTGTCCTTTGTTTTCTCTTTCTACAAGCTAAAAACAATCCAAGGAGCATTTGCCTAATGTGAATGACAATAATATTTTACTGTAAACTTGAGTTGTACAGAGTATATGAGCAGCATGATTCTTTCAAAATGTCTATGATGAGCAGAACCAGAATTACTTTCCATATCGGTCTTCCAAACTCTTTCCCCATTAAATGAATCTTGGCTAGTAGGTTACAAAAAAAAGGTATCGCCACAATTAGTAATTTCTTGTGGGTGGAGCCTTGCAGGGATTCCTTCCTTGACCAGAGCACAGCATTCGAGTTAACTGCAAGGAATAAAGAGACACTAAGGGTATTTTCTTTGCATCCTGCAAACAGAATTTTCACGGTGGCCAGGTAGCAAATTGTTGTATAATCTGTTAGATCTTTTCTTTCCCTCTTAGGAAAATTCTGTTTTCAGATTGGGAACGTTCCAGGATGTCACTGGCCTTTAATAGAGTTTTGGAAGGGTGTCAGTTACAATTCCAACTCTCTTAAGCAACCAGGGCCACTATCTCTAGTTGTATTCTGAATTCTGTATTTTGGTTGTGGGGCCGGCAGAGCACGAAGTTGGGTTTGTGTGAACATGTATGTGCCTGGGTGTAGTGGACTTGCTCTTTCTTTCCAGAATTGTAAGGAAGCATCTTAAAGGGCTTTGAAAAACTTTCCTCGGGCATATTTAGTGAGCACGGTAGATGCCGTTGTTTCGCAAGTCTTCTACTTTCTTTGTCTGTACAGGTTGTTCCTGCTTCATGGCTGGGAGGAAATTGAGGATGTTGAAGAACGCTTGCCGTTTGGCCAGTGGGTCGAACCGGTTAGCTGGCTTCTGTCCTTAGACGAACCAATGGCGGGCCAAGTCCTGTGGCTGTAGGAGAGGGGCCACACAGCCTGCAAGGTTCTAGGTTTCACATGGAGACAGTGTGGCTGCTCTGGTCTCAACACCCTTTGTCACTCCATAATCTAGCCTCATTAAAAAAAGACTCTAAAAATATCAGCTTCGTTTTGAGGTGTTGGCATAAAATTGATGTTGTGGATTTAATCTGTAACCTGGCTTCTGTTGCTCATTTGCCACCATCCCTCCATGGCCTTGCCTCCTGCCGTCACCGTACTGTTTCTCTCCTGCCCTCTCACCTCAGAGATTCTCAGGGGCTAAGGGGCATATAGGCAAGAGCGTTTTTCTTTATTTTAAATGACTTTGGACGTATTCCTTATACTTCAGAAAAGGAACACTGGGGGACTGTTTTAAACATCTGATCTTATCATTCTCTGAACCCATTAACCTCAGATGTTGGTGTGATGCCAAGAAAATGGAACTCCTATCCTGGAATGGCAGGGAGTCAGGGTCCTCTGCTCTGATGTATCAGCTCCCTCTGGCTGTCCCATCCCGTAAGTGGCACACAGCCCCACAACTGCTTTGATTAAGAAGTGGTGTTTGGTGCTGTTTCCGATCCAGGATATTAATGGAAATGCTCATAGCGTTGGGCGCGCTAAAAACCACGCCAGTATTCCAGCAGAGTGGGATCTCATAGGCTGACTCAGGCCCGGGAAGGAAGTCAAAGATCATGTCCTCATCACTGTGCAGATGAGGGGACCAGTGTATTCCAGGCCACTTGCTTAGGCAGGGAAGCACATGGTGTACTGTTCTGTGTTCCAGTGGTTAAAGGGTGTTACTAAATTCTACTGAATTATTTTTAATGCTAGTAGTATAAACTCGGGGTTTTGCTTGAGCTATTGTAACTAACTTCTGGGGTATGTGCAATTGGATGAAGATAGCACTTACTTTTGCTGCAGACAGAACGTAAATATCTACCTGAGCCTGGAAAGTGAGTTCTCTTTCTTGGAAGTGGCCAAGCCTCTCCCACACTGAGGCACGGGGCATGCTGGTACATTGGACTTGGAGACTTTCAAAGTTGGAGCTGAAATGGATGCTGGGTAGGTGTTGCTTGGGCATGGTTCCAAGGTTCTGGAGGCCAGTAATATTTTAAACAAGTCAAACAGCCCCTCTAGGCGAGCTGCAGGAAATCTAGCCCTTGGCTTCGCATTGCTGCATGGTCAGCGGGAGATAAAAGTGTGGACTGTTGGAGGCACGGCCCCTCCTCCTATCAGTGGATGGCAAACTGTTAAGGAGAGATAAAAGGAAAGAGCAGGGATGTTCTTTTTGAACAACAGGAGGGTGCCTTTATCACAGGCATTCAAGTAAAACGACGGGATGAGCAAGAGATCCTCCGCTTATGATTGCAAATGCACTAAAGCAATTTTGTGTCATGAAAACATTGGTAGAGGCCAGTCTTTTTTCAACCAAAGTAGTCCATTTGACAGGGAGTGTTTGCATTACATACTGCTGAAGTAAATGGGCATGAGCTTGGTTTTCAAATCTTTGTGCTCCAGAGATTTTCCCTGTGCAGTATTTGACCCACGGGGACCTGGTGGAAGTGTCAGGCTGTCCATGGTCGAGTAGAAGAGCAGAATAGCCCCACATGGCAGCCATGACCAGGTTTGCCCATGGGAATGCAGGCCAGACCTGTTACCTGGCTGAACTCTCACTTATGTACCAGAGAGGTTAAGGGAAGGGACCTGTCCAACTGGTGTTGATCTCCCCTTTCAGATTTTCCTTCCAGTTCTTTGTAACTTGTGGGGATGGGTGGGGGAGCATTTAGGAGCTTGCAGATAGTTAGGTGTCTGTTTTTCAGAGTGAGGTTTGTAAAATGTGAACCCACATTGAAAAACCTGGGCATGGTCAGTGCCCTTTGTGAGCTTAGTGGGACAGATGTGCTTTGGGCACATTATGCTTGTTTCAGACCCTGCTGGGCTGAGGGGCTTGGCCCATCGTGCTGGTGCAGCATCAGTGTAGTTAGATCCCCAGAAGTTACAGTTGCCCTGAACTAGTCACCCTCCGCCACCAGGTGAGGGGAGCAGGAGAGGGCCAGGGGCCTGAGCCATCCTCCAGGACCATGCCAGTCCACAGCTTGCCTTCCTTTCCGGGTGCCTCTGCTGGTTAGCTCATCTGTGCTGTGGGTGCAGACAGAGCCTGCCCCATGTGCCACCTTCCGTCCCAATGCCCCATCATGCCCCTCAGTAGCTTTTGCATTTTGCTCAGTTACTTTAAGAAAATCCATTGACTTGCTAGTGTTTTGAATTGGTTGGTTTGCAATAAACACTCATCAACCATTTATATCTTGGGGAATTTGTTTTTCTTCATAGAAATAGTGGTGAATGATTTTCTCAGAGGTAGAATAGAGGAGGAAAAAGTCATTTGTTAGAAGGATTGAGGGCAGACCATCAGGTGCCTGGTAAATTCACCCAGCACAGTTGTTCTCAGCTGATGGTCGGGAATGTCTGGTTATGGTGACGTCTTGACCACAGCTGACAGCTTTTCCAGTGGGCGAGGAAAGATGTGATCTCTTCCTTCCACTGCCTTCTCTGAGCTAGCAGGGGAGAAGCATTTCAAGCAACACTGTCTTTTCACAAAGTAATTTTTATTTTATAAGGGCTACTGTGCTGAACCACCCTGAATTCTGGGAATTTAAAGCCCAAATCCTAGGTTAACCACCTGCCCTACGGGGAGTTAGCTTGCATCCAGCTCTTCCTCTGGAGGGAAGTAGAGAATCCTGTTGCTGCAGCTGCTGACCCTTTACCAGAGCATGCCACAAAGGCCAACCCCACAACCTCGGGGCCTGTGAAAGAGTTGCAGGATATTGCCTAAAATTGTCAGCAAACTGCTACTGAACTTTACCCCAGCTTCCTGCCCTAGGCTGTAAATGTGACTGAAGGCATGGAGATCCACTTCAGAGGAGTGCCCAGAACAGCCCCGTGACTGTGGTCCAATTGCCTGAGAGTCTGGGGGGTGGTGCTGGGTGTCCTGCACTGTATCCAGTTCTGTGGCTGGGAGGGCAGAGGTGTGGGAGAAAATGGGAGAGTGAGCCTTGTCCTGTGGGAGCCAGCAATGGGAACTTCCTCGATTAAGCAAATGTGAAGCTGACCAAGATTTGTTTCAGCAGCTAGCTGAAGCTGGAGGGTTTATTTCCTGCTCATCATACAGTTCGTTCTGCTCCTTATTGTCAGTGGGGTTGCATTTATGATAAACTCAAGTAAATTTAGATTTCATTGTTAAACTTAGGGGTTGGGGCCAAAGTTTTTTAAGATTATCAAACTGGCCCCTGCCCTCAAAGCATTGGCAATTTGATAGAGGCCCCAGGGGAGCCCAGGGTGAATCAAATCTTGGGGAGAGCTGGCCCAGGGGCTAAATACATTGGAATGTAGGGAGATAAAGAGCATGATGTTGATAGTCGTCCTGGGGGTACTGTTTCATTTTTAAAGTGTTTTCTTTTTCCAAGTTGTGAGAATTTATTTAGAAAGTTGCAGAGGTAGTAGAGGGGCCCTTGGAGCTTAGGAGAGAGAAAGGCAGAGGTAACTTAGGCACCTGGGAGGAAGTAGGGGGGGCAGGGAAAGGTGAAGTTGTTTTTCTGTGCTGTAAGGTATGCCAGGCAGGTATTATTAGCTTCATTTTCTGGATAAGAGAACTGAAGCCCAGAGACTTCAAGTTGCTCCGTTAGTGGCAGCAGAGTTTCTAGTCCAAGGTTCAGATGCCACATCGTTATAGTGCCAGGGTTTATTCTCTGCTGCCTGCCTGGGGAACTTATAGTACTATGGGACAGGGGCTGTCCTTTCAGAAGCCCAGAATCTAGATAATAGAAGAAGGATCTGATTTGGTCTCCTACCCACTGCAGGATCCTCTGCTTGAATACGTCTACGGACAGCAAGCTCATTCCCTTACGGGGCTTCATTTTATTGTGGGCAGCATTAGTTGTTCAAAGCCCTGCTATAAAGAATTATGGGGTCGCAGATCTGCTTCTTTGTGCCTCCCACCCAAATCTCATTCCTGCTATGGTGAACACATGAGAAGAGTGTAGCCATTTTCCACACGCTGACCTTGTGTTTTGCGCCCCGACTGGGGACTGGCCCACAACCTGGGCATGTGCCCTGACTAGGAATCGAACCAGTGACCTTTTGGTGCATGGGTCGATGCTCAACCACTGAGTCATACCAGCCGGGGTCTGAATGGTTTTTAAATCGTCCTCTTTGTGAGTACAGCAGAAAGTACAAGAACTTTAGCCCTGCCCCTTAAGAGCTGTGTAGTACCCAGCAAATAATCTAATTATTGCCTTATAAGCCTTGGGGAAGAATGTGGGGATATATGTAAAGTATTTAACAAATTTTCTGACTCAGAGTTTATGCCACAAATAGTGATCCCTAGTTATTGGGAAGGGGACATATAATTGGATATAGACTAGACTTCTGACATACTCTGACTTAAATTTCGTTTTCTATGACAGCAATATCCTTCTTTTCAGTTTTTAAATTCCTTAGCCAAGGAGTGATATGGAGGCCTATCCCAGTTTTTTTTTTTTGTTTTTTTTTTTTGATAAGCCAGCAGAGTAGATCTTAGGGTGGGGTGGGCTCTAGACTCCTAAACTTAATTCCCTGCAGGACACTCTTTCTGAGACTTCTTCTGCCTGAGCCTGGAAGACCCTTCCCTGCCCTGGGTTAAGTGAGGGTGTGGTAAGCCTCCTGCCTAGTGTGGGTGCTTCCTTATTCAGGCTTCCTTGGCTGCCCACCCCCTTCCTCACCAGCTTCCTCAGGCAGAATCGAGGACCATACAGGTTTCTGCTAAACTAGGCAAGAAGGTGATGAAATACCAGATTCTAGTGGCCTGGCAGAAAAGCATTGTTTAGGAAAAGACTGGCTCTCCTGGGGAGAGGGACAGGGCCCTCTCCTGGAAGAGCAGGGCCCTGGGTGACACATGGCTGCCCTGTGGCAGCTGCGTCTCGGCTTCATGAGTATGGCAGGCAGATCCTGTCAGTAAGACCTGCTCCCTGGAGCTGCAAGGACTGGAGTCCTCTTCTTCATGGTCTTGTTTACTGACAGAAAAGTTTACAATCAGGACTTTGCCCATCTCCTCTCTCTAAAGAAGCCAAGAGCCCTATGGAGAGATGTGGGAAGAAGAATAGGGTATCATAGGGTAGTTTTATCTAACATGTACTAGAAAAATCTCCACCTTTCCAGCAGTTCATCTTTTAAATAGCAAATGGAATCTGACTTCCACAGAGAAATTTGGTAAGCAAAAACCCGTCTTCCGCATCAGCACTCTCCCCTGCTGAAATTGTATGCACTGTAACAATTAAAATGTCCAAATTATTTTAAAGAGAGAAACTGCTTTCAGGATGGAACCTGTCACTCTCCCATAAGCCACTCCTTCCCCTTCACTTTTCCTGAATAGTAATGTTCCTTTGCCCATGACAGTGGACCTCGCCTTTTGAAAGGGAGCATCAGTAGCTCCCACCAGTCCTGGTCCCTGATCAGCACGGGGCACTGCTCTAGGCAGCAGGGATGCCCTCCCTTTGACTTTTCTTCCCAGCTGAGAGTCCACACACACACACACACACACACACACACTCACACACACCCCCCCTCCCCAAGGTAGTGAGGTAGTTCTGAGGCCAAGGGGGGACCATGGGGTGGCTTGCTTTCCCTCCTCTTCCTTACCCACCTCTTGTGGCACACTCACTGCCCAGGGGCAGCAGAGGAGAGAAGACATTTGAGGGCACCGTGAGGGTGTTCAGGGCCACAGGAAATTCTGGCCGAAGGGCTCAACTTCGGAGACAATCCAGCAGCACCCTTTAAGGAGCTTCTCCTCAAGTGACCGAGCTTGGTGAAGCGTTGGGTTCATAGCTGCCTAGGGCCGAGCTGAGGGGTTTTGTTTCCATGAACTGCAGGCTGACCTGGCCCTGTCTGAAGCTCACATCCCCCGAGTCCCCCGTCCTGAGGAAGCTAAAGTAGGCCCTGCATAGATTAATCCCCCCTTATTTATTTAGTATTATTTTATTGTGGCAGACAAAGCTGAAGTTAGAACCAGCACCTTGATTTTTGCTCTG